GCGGGAGCCGCGACACAGGAGTGGACAAAGCAAGATGGCTGGGATCTTAGCCTGGTTCTGGAACGAGCGGTTTTGGCTTCCGCACAATGTCACCTGGGCAGACCTGAAGAACACCGAGGAAGCCACCTTCCCACAGGCGGAGGACCTTTACCTCGCCTTCCCGGTGGCCTTCTGCATCTTCATGGTGCGGCTCATCTTCGAGAGGTAAGAAGGGCCGGAGCGCCTGGCTCTCGTGCACACTGGCACACGCGTGCACACTCGCCTGCTCCGTGGCGCACGCCCCCGCTCTCGGGCTCACACCTCCCAACCTTTGTGTTCACCGTGGGGGTCCCCCATCCCTCAGCCGGGCTGGCCTTTGGGGAGCCAGAGGGGGTTCGACTTGCCCGAGGATTTCCTCCGGGGCGCCGGGAAGGGGCCGAGGGGAGCTGGGTCGCCGCCCGCGCTCCTGCTTCCCCGGCTTCCTCCTTCCAGAGAGGGCAGGCGAACAAAGGTGAGCGGCGGGCGGCCGCGGGGGACCGCGGGGCGGGGGGCTCTGCCATAGTGGCACTGGCGCTTCCAGGCTGGGCTTCTCTGAGGCTAGCCGCCACCCACTTGACATCCTGGAACGATGGGGACGCGCGGCCCGGAGGGAGGAGGAGCGCACACACTTCAGCTCTTGCACTCCCGCACGCACGCGGGAGACGGGGCCACGCTGCAGAAGAATTTGCCCGGACCTTTGACTTCTGCTTGCTCTCTGGTTTCCATCCGTGGTACCGTTTTAGGCCCTTAGTTCTAGGAAATGGGTGACGAAAGCACTCGGGATCGTTTGTGGTTTTTTAAAAAGAGGGCAGAACAGGACCGGTGCCCATCATACAAAATGGTCATTTGAAATCGATAGTAGGATCCCGTGACTAAACATAAGCTTCTTGCTGATACCGGAAGACTCTTGAAACGTTGGAATAATTGTCACGAAATTGTTGGTATGAGTCCTTACTTTGGTTAGATCTCGCCTTTGTATCAGCACACAAACTTAGGTTACTCTTATTGAGTCAGTCTTAAGTCACGAAACTAGATTTTGCCTGCTGTGCATTCAACACGCACTCGTGAAAGAAAATCGGGACCACACACTTCTTTCTTTTAACTGAAAACAAAATCGCTTTCTTCTTTCCTCCTCCCACCCCCATTCATCAGTGAAGACTGAATTTCTTAGATCACAAATACCCATTTCCACTCAACCTCCCCCTTACCCGCCTCCAGCTCACCTTGGCTGTTTCTCCGGCTGCTGTTGTTATCTTGTTTACTCTTAGTTTGCCTAAAACCATTATTGAGGATGTCAGAATGTATCTTTTGTTACTGGAAATAGCAACAAAGCTTCCTGGGAACAAAAAAATATGATTTGTTTTAAGCAAGGTGCATTTTTCAATGGGCAGTATTGTTGCTTGTGAACTAAATCAGCTGTTGCCGAGCTGAAATTGTCTTGCACAAAGGGCAGTCCTATTTTAAAACGATTGGAATCCAGTACAAATATGTCATTGATCCTGGCCAGTGCTGAAACTCACTGTGAAAAGCAGGTGTGTTTGAAGGTTGCAAATGTTTACTTACAGAAAATAGGAACTCAAGTCTAACCTTGCCATCTCTGCAAAGACAAGTCGACTTTCAAGAATAATAGCAGGCTGCACACTGTGAGGGCTCCACACACAGTTGCTGGATGACACCCTATGAAATCTGTCTGCGTTTGGCTAGTTACTTTAAAGGAAATCTTAAGTTGTATATCTTGGAGAACAAAAAGCATGGCAGCTGATGAACCATATGTCCCAGCATTCTTTTTCATTCTGATTCCTGGCTCTTCAGTAGGCTGGAAAGTATTAAAGATCAAGATAGCTTGGTTTGTAATTGGCTTTCTTTGTCTTAAAACACACACACACACACACACACACACACACACACACACA